TCAAAAAAACTTTTCNAATGTCAATTAGTCTCATTCTCTGAATCAACCACCGCATAGGCTAAAGGGAATAAACCTGCCAAGTAGAGTAATAACATATAGATTAAAAAAAACTTTTAAAAAAAAAAAAAAGCATAAACAGTAACAGTATACAGATTCAATTACCAAAAAAAAAAAAAACAAAGAAAGACAATAAATAGTAACAGTTTAATAATACAAAAACATCATATACAAACTAAATTATACCTTGATTTCCATCCTTTCCAATAGCCGAAAGAATATTTCTTTTGTACTTTCCTTTAAGGAAGGTTCCATCAACAAACAAAATAGGCCGACAATAGTTGAACCCATCAATGCATGCCTTGAATGATACAAATAACCTATAGAATCAGTTAGATAGTTGATCACAATCAAGCACTTTATGGCTACCGACATTTGTATTATTCACCGCATCTATATACCAACGTAATTGATCATAAGACAAAGAATAATCCCCAAAAAGCATTGTTTTTGCTTTTTCCACACCTAACAATGCTTGGTCATATGATATTGTAAGGCCATACGATGAATGAAAAACGCTAACCAGCTCAGTTGGACGAGTGTTTGTCTTTTCACGGACATTGTCAACAATTAGATTTGCAATCAAATTGGAAGACATCCTCTTGTTTTAGGTTGTGCGTAGAGCTAATCCACAAGTGTGTTGGTTTTGTAGTTTTCTTATGTAAAAGAAACCATTCATCCTCTGAAGAGTAGCAATGACATGCCACTCGCATCCTGTAACGTACTTCGACGCACATTCCGCAACTACTATTGTCTTACAATTCTTCGCATAATTGAAATTAAACCCAACCTCAACTGCATATTTGCATAGAACAGTCCAAAAATGGGTAACACCACCTTCAAACTTCTGACCTTCACACTTGATTTCATTTTCCCACCCAGATATTCAAAGAACTTTCTCCGTATGTGAACAAAAATGAGGAAGTAAATTGACCTCAAATTCGACTCCGTCTTCAACAATATTAACATCTTCAAGCAACTCAGTATCAACCACAACAATTGAAGTATCATTAGACACATACACCATCAATTCAATATGATTGACATTAATTAAACATATTAACTCAAACATATTCTTCAAGTCATCATTATTTCGTAGTGAACAATTCGGATGACCTAGAATTGAATATGATATACGCACAGCCAAATTTCTCAACTCATCCCATTCCTCGTAAACTCTATGCAAAATGAAATCAAATCTTGATAGAACTGAACATCTCATAACTAACGTCTCAAGACGATATTTGCATAATAGTATGATCATATTCTCCATGACCTTAAATATGTGTATAAATAGAAAATTAGTAACAGGTTCCCAAAACGAAAGAATGACAACAAACAATAAATCATATACGATAATGCATGTTCCAGATTTCATCAATGACCAAAAAAAAAAATTAAAAAACAAATATTGACACCAAACAATAAATCACATTCGATTCCAGAAAAATCAAAAATCTTCATGAAAAAAGTGAGATAGAAGCTTTAAAAAACTATTTACAATCTTCAAATCATTTTAGCATGAGAGTTTCATTTATCTTTTCGGAATGGAAAAAGATATTAAACATTGAAAAAATTAAATGACCAACAAAAATTAATGTTCCATGTTTATGAAAAATTCCAGCAGAATAAAATAAAAAAATGCTCCACAATTTCCGAAATTTCATGAAGATACTGAATGAAAGAGTGACACCAAACAATAAATCATATTCGATTCTAGAAAAATCAAAACTCTTCATGAAAAAAGTGATATAAAAGCTTTAAAAAAACTAATTCCAATCTTCAAATCATTTTAGCATGAGAGTTTCATTTATCTTTTTGGAATAGAAAAATATATTAAACATTGAAAATATTAAATGACCAACAAAAATTAATGTTCCATGTTTTTGAAAAATTCCAACAGAATAAAATAAAAAATGCTCCACAATTTTGGAAATTTCATAAAGATGCTGAATGAAAGAGTTACATCAAACAATAAATCATATTCCATTCCATAAAAATTAAAACTCTTCATAAAAAAAGTGAGGTAGAAGCTTAAAAAAACTAGTTCCAATCATCAAATCATTTTAGCATGAGAGTTTCATTNACAGTTTAATAATACAAAAACATCATATACAAACTAAATTATACCTTGATTTCCATATTTTCCAATAGCCGAAAGAATATTTCCTTTGTACTTTCCTTTAAGGAAGGTTCCATCAACAAACAAAATAGGCCGACAGTAGTTGAACCCATCAATGCATGCCTTGAATGATACAAATAACCTATAGAATCAGTTAGATAGTTGATCACAATCAAGCACTTTATGGCTACCGACATTTGTATTATTCACCGCATCTATATACCAACGTAATTGATCANAATTAAAAAACAAATATTGACACCAAACAGTAAATCACATTCGATTCCAGAAAAATCAAAACTCTTCATGAAAAAAGTGAGATAGAAGCTTTAAAAAACTATTTACAATCTTCAAATCATTTTAGCATGAGAGTTTCATTTATCTTTTCGGAATGGAAAAAGATATTAAACATTGAAAAAATTANGAATAATCCCCAAAAAGCATTGTTTTTGCTTTTTCCACACCTAACAATGCTTGGTCATATGATATTGTAAGGCCATACGATGAATGAAAAACGCTAACCACCTCAGTTGGACGAGTGTTTGTCTTTTCACGGACATTGTCAACAATTAGATTTGCAATCAAATTGGAAGACATCCTCTTGTTTTGGGTTGTGCGTAGAGCTAATCCACAAGTGTGTTGGTTTTGTAGTTTTCTTTTGTAAAAGAAACTATTCATCCTCTGAAGAGTAGCAATGACATGCCACTCGCATCCTGTAACGTACTTCGACGCACATTCCGCAACTACTATTGTCTTACAATTCTTCGCATAATTGAAATTAAACCCAACCTCAACTGCATATTTGCATAGAACAGTCCAAAAATGGGTAACACCACCTTCAAACTTCTGACCTTCACACTTGATTTCATTTTCCCACCCAGATATTCAAAGAACTTTCTCCGTATGTGAACAAAAATGAGGAAGTAAATTGACCTCAAATTCGACTCCGTCTTCAACAATATTAACATCTTCAAGCAACTCAGTATCAACCACAACAATTGAAGTATCATTAGACACATACACCATCAATTCAATATGATTGACATTAATTAAACATATTAACTCAAACATATTCTTCAAGTCATCATTATTTCGTAGTGAACAATTCGGATGACCTAGAATTGAATATGATATACGCACAGCCAAATTTCTCAACTCATCCCATTCCTCGTAAACTCTATGCAAAATGAAATCAAATCTTGATAGAACTGAACATCTCATAACTAACGTCTCAAGACGATATTTGCATAATAATATGATCATTTTCTCCATGACCTTAAATATGTGTACAAATAGAAAATTAGTAACAGGTTCCCAAAACGAAAGAATGACAACAAACAATAAATCATATACGATAATGCATGTTCCAGATTTCATCAATGACCAAAAAAAAAAATTAAAAAACAAATATTGACACCAAACAATAAATCACATTCGATTCCAGAAAAATCAAAAATCTTCATGAAAAAAGTGAGATAGAAGCTTTAAAAAACTATTTACAATCTTCAAATCATTTTAGCATGAGAGTTTCATTTATCTTTTCGGAATGGAAAAAGATATTAAACATTGAAAAAATTAAATGACCAACAAAAATTAATGTTCCATGTTTATGAAAAATTCCAGCAGAATAAAATAAAAAAATGCTCCACAATTTCCGAAATTTCATGAAGATACTGAATGAAAGAGTGACACCAAACAGTAAATCATATTCGATTCCAGAAAAATCAAAACTCTTCATGAAAAAAGTGATATAAAAGCTTTAAAAAAACTAATTCCAATCTTCAAATCATTTTAGCATGAGAGTTTCATTTATCTTTTTGGAATAGAAAAATATATTAAACATTGAAAATATTAAATGACCAACAAAAATTAATGTTCCATGTTTTTGAAAAATTCCAACAGAATAAAATAAAAAATGCTCCACAATTTTGGAAATTTCATAAAGATGCTGAATGAAAGAGTTACATCAAACAATAAATCATATTCCATTCCATAAAAATTAAAACTCTTCATAAAAAAAGTGAGGTAGAAGCTTAAAAAAACTAGTTCCAATCATCAAATCATTTTAGCATGAGAGTTTCATTTATCTTTTCGGAATGAAAAAATAGATTAAACATTGAAAATATTAATTGACCAACAAAAATTAATGTTTATTTTATTTTGAAAAATTCCAACAAAATAAAATAAAAAAACTATAAAATTTAATGCTCCACAATTTTGAAAATTTCATGAAAATGTTGAATGCCGGAATTTTAAATACTTACAAATTCATGGTGTCCTGTTTGGTAAAGAATATTCTTGAACATGTGAGAGAAATGCTTGAACTGGTGAAGAAGAAATACAATAATATAAATGCTTGAATTGGTGAAGAAGGAATACAAAAATAGCTTCTTGAACCGGGAAGAAGATACAAAAGAAGAATATTACTTGAAATTTTAAAATTCAAATGATACACAAATATCAAAGGAATCTTGAGAGTCTCAATTCTAATATTTAGATATTGGAAATATAAAAGTTGTATATTATGTATGACCTATTTCTGGTAGGGGTAAATATGGAATACATTTCAAAAAAAATTTAAAAATATTTAAAAATGTGTATTTATTGATAAATAAGTAATGAAATAGAAGACTTAAAAGAGAATAAGTTTGAAAGTAAAATTTAAAGTCAAAGTTCTAAAAAAAATACTCCCGTCCCATTATCTGTAAAAGTTTAGTATGGCTTTTTAAGCTCATGGGCCATCCGGCCCAATTGTGCTGCCCCACATTGAAATACCTTCCATACGAATCGAAATACCGTCCATACGACCCTGCCCCTTCAATCTCTCTCTCTCTCTCTCTCTCTCTCTCTCTCTCTCTCTCTCTCTCCAGTCCAGTTACTGTCAGAACCCCTAATAGCCATGGGAGATTCTCGCCGGATTTCTGTCCATCACGCTCTTGGCGGTGGTTCAGGTCCTCTCACTCTCTATGCCAAATATATATTTAGATTTTCAATATGTATATGTATCTGTCCAGCTCCATATTGATCTATTCTGCTGCTACAAATGGCTTTTTATAACATTGAATCGTTTGCATCTACGTGATATTTGGTTTATTCATTTTCCGAATCTGATAAAACTCTTTTAGTTTTGTTCTGTTTTATTGTTATTTTTGTTTTTTTTTTTTGTGTGTTTTGGGAACGAGGGCGGTTCGTTGATATAATTCTATAGACGGCTTTGAATTCATTTGAGGTTGTATATTTATGTGTAATTTTGGATGCAGTTGCTGATGTTTTGTTGTGGAAGAAATGGTATGGAAGCAGTGTTGTGCTAGTCTCTGCCACCGCCTTGTGGTTCCTCTTTGAACGAGCCGGATATAACCTTTTGTCATTCATTGCCAATGTTCTACTACTTCTTGTTGTAATCCTTTTCTTCTGGGCTAAATCTGCATCACTTCTCAATAGGTATGTATTAATATTCCTCAGCTAGAGAAAAATTATCTTTGTGTATTTTCTGTAATTGATTGTTCTACAATATCAACAACGTTTGATTATGTCCTTTTACATGTTTGTTTTATTTTCTGTATAGTTGCAGTTAATTCTTTGGATTAGTTGATGGGTTTCTATTTTTGAGGGTTGTTTGGCATGCTTTGTTTGGTAGTGTCTAGATCTGAACAATTATTTATGTGATTTTAGACCTTTGCCTCCTCTCCCTGATCTGGAGATTTCCGAGGAATCTGTTTTGAAGACTGCTGATGTAATGCAAGTGTGGATCAATGATGCATTGTCTGTTGCACGCGATATTGCTATTGGTGGAAATTTGAAAGTTTTTCTTAAGGTGTGATTGCGTGTTATTACACTATTAGTTGGTTGAACTGATCAGATATACATGCTCTCAACTTGCATACTTTTGGTTGAAATGGCGTTGTTGTTTTGATTCTTCAGGTTGCTTTTGGCTCGTGGGTGATTTCTTGCATTGGTAGTTTCTTCAACTTCCTTACTCTGGTCTATATCGGTGAGTCCTTTTGCTTCTTGTTTCATAATAAGAGTCTGCCAATCTTTTCATAAAATTTTTCAGTTATATTATTTGTCTAATTTTGTGACAGGGGTTCTTCTCAGCCTATCAGTACCTCTTTTCTATGACAAGTACCAGGATCCAATTGATGAAAAGCTGATCATACTACAGAAAAATGTTCAAGCACAGTACACAAAAATTGATGATATCATCTTAAGCAAGATATCAAAGCCTCTTAACAAGGAAAAGAAGACTCAGTAGGCCTAGGGTAATCAATCTATCTCTCTCTGCCTCTCTCTCTATCTCTCTATATATATATCTATATTCTGGGCTAAACAATTTTGTAAAATTTGTTCTTCCGCAATAGTTATGCTTATGCCTCTCATAACTGTATCTGAAGTNTATATATATATATATCTATATTCTGGGCTAAACAATTTTGAAAAATTTGTTCTTCCGCAATAGTTATGCTTATGCCTCTCATAACTGTATCTGAAGTAACTGGAGTGTTATTCTTCATCTTTTTAAAGTTATTGTTCCTTGGTTTCTACAGGGAATTAACTTAGGTAGTGACTTTGGGAAGCATGACTTAAGTTTTTCCCCACTTCTGTTCTGTTTTTTTTATGGTTCCTCTGAGGCTTGGGCTGTGATATTGGGAAGTATGACTAACCACACACCCCCTGTGACTCTACTCTTTAATTATTAATTGAGCCTTCTATGCTATTCTTGTTGGTTCCTCTTGGTGCTGCATATGGCCTTAAGAGTTGTTGGATTAGGTTTTATCCTAAAGATATCATCATGAAGAACTCTTTTATGTTTATGCATTTCATGAAACAACAGTTTCTGGGGATCAGCCTTGTATCCAAACTGCTCGTGTTTTTTCATTTTGGGCAGTTATGTACACCAGATACATCTTCTGGTTGAGGCTTCTTTTGAAAACCTGCAGTTGGCATTGTAGTCTGATTTGATTGATTTAAATGTTCCTGAGCATTCATGTGTTAGGGTAAATTTGCTGCAAGCCTGTTGCTTAACTGGTATTCTTGCTTTCAAGTTTTGATTATGAAGTATATATTTTGTATAACTCAATTGCTGTTTCCAACTTCTTGTTGCGCGGAATTATCCTTCTTAACTATTTGGTTTGGTCCTTCTACCTTAAGTGACTGTTGCAATCAGAATTGATGAATAGTATTTTAGATTTGAGGACCAAAGCTGTGTATTTGCAGCTTGATAGTGTAAGGTCGGTGATTAACTTAAAAAATTCCTTTCCAGCATATTTGTTTTGAACCAAAAAAAAAAGGGCTGGCGAACTTATGTGATTGCAATAAATTGCTTCATGGATGTTCAATTTTTTCAAGGGTCTTGGGAAAGTTTGACTACAATAATCTAGTCATCTAGTAGCAGAGGATTAAGCCAGATTATTGCTTAAGAATGGTTTGTCTTGCAATGAGTGATGAACCACTCAAGTCATTGTTATGGAGAATCTTCATGCTATAATACTTTAGTGTCTGATACACAACCAATTTAATCTAATGGTTTAAAATTATCTAGTAGTGGTGGGCTCTGCCTGTTCACCCAGAAGGTTTGGTTTAGTAGTGTTCCATGAATCACTCAAGTCGTGGTCATTGTGAAGATAATATTATAACTTTATAGTTTTCTTTATTGAAAACTCATTATCTTTGAAGTAGGATGATAGTAAATGCAGCAATGCAGATTGTGAGGCTTTATTTTCTCAATCATAGGTTATGAGTGTGAAGTTCTTGCATTTTTGGTTCATTATTTGTGTTACAATGCCAACTTCTAGTCAGATTTGCTGACTCCATGTTGGATAGCTACATATTATGCTTAAAAGTACTCTGTCCTCTCAGGATGTTCTTTAGAGGTGCATCTCTTTCCATCTGTAGGCATGTGTGTTTGTGTTGTGGTTCTGTACAAGAAAGGTAGTGTTTTTTTGGGTATTAGTTCCTCAGTTGAAACACAAATCATGCTTCTGAATGCTCCTTGGTTTGTTTGGTTCTATTCTAATGTCCTCCATAATTTATTGAAGCACATGGTTACAGACTTCATGGTTAGAGTTTCTAATATATATGCCTTACAACTATTTGCAGATTCTTCTTTCTGGATGCTTACCATGTACATCAACTATCATCAGTATTGAGAACCACCATGATTAACTGCAGATTGCTCTGAGGTTTTGGGATAATGCTATTTTTTCGTTGTTCATTTTATTGACATTATTCTTGATAGATTTCGGTCAGTGCATGCCCTCGTGCCTATGCTTACGGTTTCTTCCACTGCATGAAGAAAAGTACCCTCATGGTGGACTTGGTTTTGGTAATGGAACTCAAAGTTATAAATTTGATGGATGTGACATCTGGTTATTTTGAAGCAGTTCTTTGTGATTTAGTCTTGTGAATATGGAAGATAGCAGCATATTCACCGTTGAAGCCTTAAGTTGTGATTTTGTGGCTTTATAGAGACAACAACTCGACTTTATGGCTTTTGAATTATACGATGCCGTGTGCTTTTGAAAAACTTTGTTTTTTCGGTGATCTGAGCATAAGTCTTCTAAAATCCTCCTTAGCATCAGTATGAATTGTATCCTACAGCCTTACCTCCACATAAAAGTAAAAGTGTGTATATCTAACTCTCTCTTTAGACTCTAATGCAGGGCTTGTGAAAGCTCAACATGGTTTGATATGGGAAGAAGGAAAGGACCAGATCAGCTAGGCAACCGGAAATGCCTGTTCTTCTCTACTCTCTGCAAAAATTTCTCTTTTTACCCCTTGAAAGTGCAATTAATTTCCTTTCTGAANTCTTTGTGTTACAATGCCAACTTCTAGTCAGATTTGCTGACTCCATGTTGGATAGCTACATAATATGCTTAAAAGTACTCTGTCCTCTCAGGATGTTCTTTAGAAGTGCATCTCTTTCCATCTGTAGGCATGTGTGTTTGTGTTGTGGTTCTGTGCAAGAAAGGTAGTGTTTTTTTGGGTATTAGTTCCTCAGTTGAAACACAAATCATGCTTCTGAATGCTCCTTGGTTTGTTTGGTTCTATTCTAATGTCCTCCATAATTTATTGAAGCACATGGTTACAGACTTCATGGTTAGAGTTTCTAATATATATGCCTTACAACTATTTGCAGATTCTTCTTTCTGGATGCTTACCATGTACATCAACTATCATCAGTATTGAGAACCACCATGATTAACTGCAGATTGCTCTGAGGTTTTGGGATAATGCTATTTTTTCGTTGTTCATTTTATTGACATTATTCTTGATAGATTTCGGTCAGTGCATGCCCTCGTGCCTATGCTTACGGTTTCTTCCACTGCATGAAGAAAAGTACCCTCATGGTGGACTTGGTTTTGGTAATGGAACTCAAAGTTATAAATTTGATGGATGTGACATCTGGTTATTTTGAAGCAGTTCTTTGTGATTTAGTCTTGTGAATATGGAAGATAGCAGCATATTCACCGTTGAAGCCTTAAGTTGTGATTTTGTGGCTTTATAGAGACAACAACTCGACTTTATGGCTTTTGAATTATACGATGCCGTGTGCTTTTGAAAAACTTTGTTTTTTCGGTGATCTGAGCATAAGTCTTCTAAAATCCTCCTTAGCATCAGTATGAATTGTATCCTACAGCCTTACCTCCACATAAAAGTAAAAGTGTGTATATCTAACTCTCTCTTTAGACTCTAATGCAGGGCTTGTGAAAGCTCAACATGGTTTGATATGGGAAGAAGGAAAGGACCAGATCAGCTAGGCAACCGGAAATGCCTGTTCTTCTCTACTCTCTGCAAAAATTTCTCTTTTTACCCCTTGAAAGTGCAATTAATTTCCTTTCTGAAATTCTACAAAAAGCAATGAGCAGTGGAAGCCAATTAAGCACAGAATTGTTTAGGACATGTTTAGCACACGGGCCACAAATAAAAAAGAAGAAACCACGGGCTTGTTTGGTTTATGTTTTAAAAAATAGTATTAGAAAATAGTTTTTGAAAACAGTTTTAAGAAAGTGATTTTGATATTTTTTGAGATAAAAAATTTATTTGATTAGATAATTTCAAAAATAATTTTACAACACAGAAAATAGTAAAATTTATAAAAAAATATAAAAAAATTATTTTTATATTGACAGTTTCATAATATATATATAAGCATATTTATATATATACCAATATATAGGAATTAATCATGCTTTTATGCAGTTCGTATCTGCTCCACTGGCAATTAGAGCAACAATTTTAATAGTAAATTCAAAATTTATAATTAAGATAATTTTAACATACCATTTTTGATAAGTTATTTTTTTTAATATATTTAAGTATTCATTTGGTGATGTTTTATTATCAAAGTTAGATGGTGATGCTATATTATCTTGTATGTCACTTTTTCTAGATGACATTTCTATATATATATATATACTCATATCTAAATATCTAAAATTATTCTCATTATTTTCAAAAAAAACTCTGAAAATAATCTATATTTGTTTTCTGTTTCTTTAACTCAAATCTTATTTTTTTCTAAAATTTAAAAAATAAAAATGTTAAACAAACAATTTTGGGTGTTTTTATAATTTTGAAAACAAGAAATTATTTTCTAGTAGCTAACCAAACACGGCCCACATTCTGCAAGTTTACTATGGCTGCTTTAGATTACAATCACTCTCATCAACCTCCTCAACAAGGCCTAAAACTGCCATCATTTTGTGATGTACAGAACTCCTTTGCCCGCGACAAAGAGGAGATAATGTCAATTTCCAACGGGATGTATTGGCTTTTTATATTGAGCACAGGTAAGATATAGTTGTCATCCTGAAGTACAAGATAATCAACAATTCTTTTAACAACTAACACCATTACGATGTGATGTTAACAGTGCAACTAACTTTGAAAAGGAGAAACCATCACTCCTTGTGAGATATATTGCCGCGGGCTTATGAGTGAGATGAAATTTTACTTCCTTTTCTACCGCAAAAAGCATATAAAAAGCCTGAGGCAGTACTCAGTTGGAATCTCAACTTAAGTTGAGGTTCAAGCACACAACTCATGATTCTTGGATTGCACTGCGAACTGGGGGTTGTAGCATCTCGTAATAGGACCACACACAATCTCACACATGGAAGTGTCTAAGAGACAACTATGGCTGTGGCTAGCATGGCATAGTTGTCACCTGAAACTTCCAAAATCCATTCAGCCGACGGGAAGAGCTCATGCGACCCTAGGAGCTGGAATGCTTTCTGAGAGTGGTAATGTGACTGATCGCAACAGCTCCAAGGAGTTGACAAGACCCAGAAAATGAGAGAGGATGGTGCTTGCCGATGCCTGTAAACAGAATACATGGATGAGAAAAGAGGAAAACTAAATGGTAAATCATGCCAAGCTTAGTTGTACAGAATAATCTAGCATCGCAGAAGTGAATTGGGCGCACAGTCATGCCTTTTATCATGCCCTGCATTCTATCTTGCCTTCCATCTTAATTTTTTTTTTTTAACCTTCTAACTGGTGCTCAAGACTATTAGCTGCTCTCATGAATTTACAGATACTAAGAACTCCAAGTTTTACTAGAGCAGGAGAAACATCCAAATTCCTCCAAATCATAAACACTCTAGTCCAGAAAAAGACATTTCAGTATGTGGAATACTGTGGCCGGAAAGAAATTAATAAGTCAAAAGTCAAATAGAGATTTATATTTTGGAAGAATAAGAAAAGAACCTTCTTTTCTTCCACTTGGTTACTAGTTGAAGACTTGGAACTGAACAATACTCTGGATTTCCAAGATGGGAATAACTCCAGACTTTATATGAAAAGATGTGCTGATATGTAGATATACAAGTTTGAATTGGATTTAGCAGACCACCTGTACCAAGAATATATACACTGCAAGAACAGGAGAGCTCCCAGGAGCAATACCCTGGTGATAAGGAGCAGCTGAGGTCGTGAGAGCCTTACCCACCAACCGTCCTACAGTAGCTTGCATGCCAAGTATAGCGGCAGCCATTCCCAGAAGGTTCACTATTATACCATTTTTCAAGCTTTTTACAACATCGGCGTGAGGAGCCTGAACAACCCAAGCATTCAGTATAACATGATTCTCAAGTCATTTTAAGTAGTAAAATATAACTGTTAATTATGGAAGATTAACACAATATTAGAGAGAAACAGAAAGAGGTTAAAACTTAACCTAACTCTCATACATTACTTGTATGTATAGTTAACCTACAATAATACGAATTATACATACATCCTCTTACTATTAATAATTTACACATACTACCCTATTATTCTTAACACTCTCTTTCAAGCTGGACTATATATATCATATAATTCAAGTTTGGAACAAATAGCTGTAAGACGTGTACGACTCAATGCTTTGGTAAACATATCTACAAGCTGATCTTCAGATTTCACAAATGGAGTTGTAATCTGCTCAGCTACTATCTTGTCCCGAATAAAATGACAATCAACCTCAATATGCTTGGTTCTCTCATGAAACACATGACTGACAGTGATATGGATAGTTGTCTGGTTGTCACAGAACAATTGTAAAAGAAGTTGAACTGGAAACCCAATTTCTTGGAGGAAGTGTAGTAGCCAAGTCAACTCACTCGTCGTATGTGTCATTGCCCTATACTCAGTCTTAGCACTGGATCTTACTACCACTGGTTGTTTCTTACTTTTTCAGGAGACAACATTACCTCCTAAGAAAGTACAATAATCAGTGGTTGATCTCCGATCAGAAGGAGAGCCAGCCCAATCAGCATCTGAGAAACCTTCCACTCTAAGATGTCCATTAGCTCGATATAGCAGTCCAAGTCCAGGAGCTCGTTTGAGATATCACAGAATACGAGTAACTGCCTCCCAATGTGGTACTCTAGGATATCCCATGAACTGACTTACTATACTGATTGCATATGAAATATCTGGTCAGGTAATAGTGAGATAATTAAGTTTTCCAACTAATCTGCGATACCGACACGGATTCTCAAACAATTCACCATCATCCATTAATAGTTTTTGATTTCCATAGGCACATCAATCGGTCTACTATCTAGCAAACTTGCTTCCTCAAATATGTCAAGTACATATTTCTTCTGAGATAAACAAATACCCTGTTTAGATCGAGCCACCTCAATAACCAAGAAATACCTGAGTTTTTTCAAATCCTTAGTATGAAATCGATCCTGTAAGAATATTTTTAACTTGGCAATCCCCTCAGAATCATTTTCAGTAATCACAATATCATCTACATAGACCACCAATAGAACATACCCAGCATCTGTCTGCCTATAAAACACAGAATGATCTGTCTGATACCGAAGAAGACCAAACTCTAAAACTGCATCTGAAAACTTACCAAACCATGCCCTCAGTGACTGCTTCAAACCATACATAGATTTTTTTAACCGATATACACTCTTACCATACTTTCCCTGAGCAGTAAACCCAGGTGGCTGCTCCATGTAGACCTCTTCAACCAATTATCATGTAAGAAGGTATTCTTGATATCTAATTGAAACAATGACCAATCAAGATTAGCAGCAAGAAAAATCAAGATACGAACAGAGAAAATTTTGGCAACAGGAGAAAAAGTCTCCTCATAATCAACACCATAAGTTTGAGTAAAACCCTTTGCAATAAGTCGGGCTTTGAGACGCTCCACAGAACCATCAGGGTGAAATTTAACAATATACACCGAACGATAGCCAACAGTTTGTTTACCAGAGGGTAAAGGAACGAGATTCCAAGTCTCATTATGATGTAAAGTAGTCATCTCCTCCTCCATAGCTTTCCTCCAACCTGGATCAGATAATGCATCCTGTAAATACTTAAGAATAGATATAGCAGATAATTGAGAAGTAAAACAGGAGAAGCCAGGAGACAAGGCATCATATAAAACAAAATGAGAAATAGGATGATTAGTAACACACGAACGAGTACCTTTGCGAAGAGCAATAGGTAAAGAATCTAAATTACCTGAAGTTCCAGAATCTGAAGGCGGCAAGGAAGACGGTATGGGCACTTCAGTCGATGGGTGAGGACGACGAGAGTAGACACGAAGAGGTAAAGTAGATGGTAATACAGTGGGCAACAAAATATCTGAAGATAAGGAAAGGAATGGTGATACAGGAGAGGATCCAAATTCTAAATCTAGAGGATGAGAAGGTGTTGGAAAGTAGGGAACAGATTCTTCAAATGTGACATCCGTACTAGTAAAGTATCGGTGCAGAGAAGGACTGTAGCAACGATACCCCTTCTGCGTGCGGGAGTAACCAAGAAATACACATTTGGTAGCTTGAGGGTCAAGTTTGTCAAATTCATGACCCAAATTGTGAACATAACAGACATAACCAAAAACCTTAGGAGTCAGAGAAAATAAGGGCTTACCAGGAAAAAGAACAGAATTAGGACTTTGCTCATTTAACACAGAAGAGGGCATACGATTAATAAGATGACAAGCAGTAAGAACAACATCACTCCAATAATATCGGAGGACTATTCATCTGGAATAATAGAACACGGGTGACTTCCAACAAATGACGATTCTTGCGTTCAATAACACCATTTTGTGGAGAGGTGTAAGCACAAGAAGTCTGATAAATAATGCCAGTTTTATTAAGATAAGCTAAAAGAGGATCAGATTCATATTCCCGAACATTATCGGAACGTAAAGTACGTATACGACAACCAAACTGAGTTTTTATTTCCTTATGAAAAGTCTCAAATATAGAAAATAATTCAGACCGAGCTTTTATCAAAAATAACCAAGTTACACGATAATAGTCATCTACGAATGTCACAAAATAAGGATATTTATTAGATGAAATATTCTTTATTAGACCCCATACATCATAATAGACTAATTCAAATGGACTAGATACACGAATATTGACTCTAGACTGAAATAACACACGGTAATGCTTACTAAGT